TCAGTTCTTGCTGTTGATATTTACATATTACACTATTCAATTGAATAAAGGAATTTTGCACTTCACAGAACTCCCATGTGATAACAGCCGACTTGGTTCCTGTGCAACTTGTTGATTGTCTTGTCAGAGAGTGGTTGCAGCTATCGTTGTTAATCGCGGTTATACTGTTGCTGAGCTTATCATATTGTGTATTTGGTTTGCATCATGGTTTGTTAATCGCCTGTCTATTGTCAGTGTTAATTGGGGCATTGATCCCCTACATCGCATGTCTAAGGTACTATTAATACAATTGTGAACTTTCTCCACGTTGTATACTACTACTTTAGCTATATTTAATGACACCCTGATCACAGGAGCACCGTGACACATAAGGAGGACATCAAAACTTTGACCTCAGTCTCTGTACACAAGGAAATATGTCGAGGTTTGTGAACAATTAACATAGGACACAATTTTCTTGATTATGTCAATGTAAGGAAATATTAACAGAATACCAGTTCCTTCGGCATGTTGGCGAGGGAGTAATGTCTCAACATGAAGGTGAATGTTATCGGGGTTGAGTGTGCTTTCGAAATAAATTGTCGAAGATAATGCTTGAACAAATATGCTTGAGAGTTTTGACTAAAATGAAACAAGATTCTAAAGATGTTTTAATTTATCTATGTAAACTCCCAAATTCGGAGTGGTGTGAAAGCAATAAAGCTATTAGTTAGGTCGGAATTCATTTTGTTCCTAATGCTACTTGGTGTTCCCAGTGAAACTGGTTCTGATTTACTATGAGAATGTATGCAACCTGTTAAAGGATTGTTTACCAAAGGATCTCAGTTGCCAAGTCCTTAGTCTGCGCACCACTCTGCAAAGTCAATGATGCTAATAGAACTATGATAGATTAGCTATGAGTGATTGAGTACAGTTTTACGCCGCTTTTAGCAATATTCCAGCAATATCACGGCTGGGATTCAGTGGAATAAGGAAGGCTGCACTGGTCGGACGAAAGTGACTGATGGCTGATGGCTCGTGTCTGCTGCATATAGACAACGGAATATCATGGAACAAGTACCGTTTGGCGGGGGTTCATTGATGGCGTGGGGGTGCCTCTCAAGTGACTGTAAGCATGATCTTGTGATGATGAGACAAATGCTGAATGGACAATGTTACATCACTGACATCATAGACAGGTTATTGTCCATTTCAAAGACCATCCTCTGAACACAAGGCCAGTCTTTATGGACGACAATACTTGGCCACATCAAGTTTGGAACGCATACAACAATAGTAATCAGCACTATAAAATGAGTCATTTACTTGGGTTTCTTCTCTGAATAGTGTACTATACTACGTGTATTAGTTATTTTTGCCATTTTATTATTCCTTGAGGTTCAATCTATCCAGATGATAACTTAAATTGAGGTTTGGATAAGTTCTTTTGTTATGTTTAATGGTAAGTATTGATACTGTGAAACATGTTGCTGGTGCGATCCTTTTTCCATTTTCCCATGTGTATATCTAAAATCTGCGAATCAGTTTTTGTAAACTTCCATTTATATATAGGTCGAGAATCGAGGGACAGTTAAAGTTATAATTGATTACTACGACATACATTATATTGAAGAGATAATGAACATTGAGTAAAAAGAAATGCGGCCAGTAACAGATAAGTCCACAACTGATTATGTACCATTTGCTGGGTACAGGTGACAGTTAGTATTTTGTCAAGTCACCATGGGCAGCAATCCAGGCTTCAATGCGGCGGGGCATACTACTGATCAAAGAAGTTAGAAAGTCGTGGTCAATGCTGTCCCAATATCGGACCACCTCTTCTTTCATTTCAGCAATATTTGTCAGATTTTTCTTATTGACACTTTCCTTCATCAATCCCCAAACATTTTCTATTGGATTTAGGTCAGGGTTATAGCTTGGCCAATCTAATAATGTCATATTTTGGGTCCGAAACCAGGCCTGTGAATGCTTTGAACGATGTTTTGGGTCGTTGTCCTGATGGAAAATCCAAACATTTCCATAGAACACGTGAGCAGATGGAAGTAAATGTCCCTCGAGAATATCTGTGTACCGCTCACTGTTCATATTCTCTTCAAATACACAGAGGGGCGTTGCCCCTAACACAGATATGCCACCCCATACGTTACATTTCGGACTGTACTTTGGGCGCTGATACAAATGTTTTTCAGTTTGTTTGGTCCAGAATTTCAGTGTATTAGGAAACAGCCACACAGAACTTTCATCTGAGAAAATCACATTGTCCTAGTTAAAATTCCTATGCTGTAAGCACCAGTTCAGCCTTCGCTCCTTTTGTTCAGGTTTCATGATCGGTGATGGAATTTCTCGACCTTTCTGCCAACCCATTGCATGCAGCTCAGTTCTAATTGTCTCCTTACAGACAGCCACAGTTCCTCTATCAATCATATCCAGCCTTAAGTTTTCTAAACTCTTTCGTTTGTTTTTAGAAACAAGAATACCAAGCCGCCTCCTGTCACCGACAGTCAATTTTCTGGGCCTACCTGCGCCTCCCTGGTGCTCAATGCCATATCCATTTGCAATATTTTTTAAAACACGATAAACAGTGGACAAAGGGATGCCTGTTCTACTTGAAATCACTTTAGCTGATCTGATGTCCTTGTTTTAATACTCTAAAATCAACTTCCTCTTCTCTAAATCATCCATACTGAGGATCACTGAAAATGTCGTCTGCTAGCAAGTAAACAAAGGGGATAACTCTTCACAAACTAATGAAAAAGGATTTACGGAGTTGTCTCTCTTGAATGAAACCAAGCACTTGATCAAGGTGCTGGTCAAGGTTGTTTATACTAGAAATCCAATTAAACATATTCCTAAAATTCTCAATAATTTCTGGTCATACTATATAACCGGTAGTACCCCAGAACGCATCGCGTCCATTCAAATCTTCAGTTTCAGTTTTCAATCCTTATTATTAAGCATTGATGATGTATGAATTTAAACGAACACTGTGTTATAGCAATGTTTAGAGATAAACAGACAACCAAGCCTCGAGGTTTCTATTCAACGAAACTGCGGAGTGTTCCTTGATTACCAAAAATAGTTAATCCACCAGATGTGATATCACTGATAGTCTTTATACATATATTATGCATTATACATGCTATATTCCCTTAAGAGTAGTTGATTTTTTAACCACAAAAGTATCTTGAATGCTGAATGCTGTTGGATTATAGTTATGTGCCAAGAACATTCACTTCATCAAAGTTAGCCATGACTATGACAGTTTCACTGTATAATATATTTTTATGAGTTTATGGATGACTTATGGAAAAGTGTTCTCCGTATATTTTGTTCGGAGAATGGTGAGTGATTGGGTGTTTAATGGAGAAGAATCATCTATGCCCTCTAACACTCCAAACAGAAATGGCGGATTTTTCTGTGTTTTGGAATGCTGTATGTCATATTTGCTGTGACTAATTTTCATTTGAATTATCATTTGCTGTTCCTGGAATCAGTGCCTTCAACCACCAGACACCCGTCCTCCAACGACAAAGACTATGTGGTGCTGAAGACACATTCTACCAGTGGTCCACATCCGAGAAAAGCTATTAGTGTTACCCAGCACCAACCACGACGAAGATGCTCTTCAGGAGAGTCCCTTGAAGTGGGAACTCGGTTTGATTTAAACATATTTTATTTACAAATGTGAAAAGGATTGGGGACAAATTATCCAACTTAAAATACCGGTTTCCTGTAGGTTGAGATAGATACGAAGTAGGGTTGGGTATTGCCAAAAGTTTTGTATTGCGATATATTGTGATATGTGTTGGCGTATTGCAAAATGTATTACAAAATATTGTGAAAGTATATAACACATGGTTTAAGGTAGTTAAATTTCTGTTTCCTTTCTTTTGAAACAATGCCACTTGCCACTGTCAGGACTCAGATGTGATTGTACAAGAGATCAGTTGAAAATGTTTCCAAATTGAAGACTTCGCTCTAAAGTTTGGAACTCGAGAAAAAGCGTTTGCAGCGGCGTTCGCCATTTTGGTTTGCCGGTACCAATTATTATATATACCGTTATTAGTAGTTTTGCCCACATGGGGTGATATGTACCGCCCACCCCCCCTAATACGAAGTCACACAACTAAACCTGTCTGCACTTAACAGATAACGACCCGTGAAGATCCGGGGTAGAATAGGTCTTCAGCAACCCATGCTTGTCACAGAAGGCGACTATGCTTGTCGTAAGAGGCGACTAACGGGATCGGGTGGTCAGGCTCGCTGGCTTGGTTGACACATGTCATCGGTTCCAAATTGCGCAGATCGATGTTCATGCTGTTCATCACAATCTGTCTGGTCCAGACTCGATTATTTACTGACCACCACCATGTAGCTGTAATATTGCTGAGTTCGGCGTAAAACTAAACTCACTCACTCACTCACTGGAGTTTCATAGGAACGTTGTGTGTATTGTTTTCCGCTGTACCTTATGTTCCTGTTCTTTCAAGTGAAACACGACCCATGAAGGTCCGGTTTAGAATGAACCTTCAGTAACCCATGCTTGTCGTAAGAGGCGACTAACGGGATCGGGTGGTCAGGCTCGCTGACTTGGTTGACACATGTCATCGGTTCCCAATTGCGCAGATCGATGTTCATGATGTTGATCACTGGATTGTCTGGTCCAGACTCCATTATTTACAGACCGCCGCCATATAGCTTGAATATTGCTGAGTGCGGCGTAAAACTAAACTCATTCACTCACTTAACATATAACACGCTACCCAGAGAAGTTAAGTGAAATTTAAACGTATATGGAGCTGTAAACCTAGAATTCTTTGTACCGTGAGTTTATCAAGACACGATCAGTGAGTGGATAAAGATAGTCAAAAGCCGCTTTTGCGAAGCTTTATAAGGCCATTCGTGTTTCTATATTTTTGCTTGAAATTTCAAGATACTAAGTTGAAATCAAAAGGCCCCAAAACGCACCCGTAGCCATCGCAGCAAGTTCGATTCAAGGCCGCGTGATACTTAAAAATATGAAATTGAAAATATTTCCTCAATTTGTCTCGAGTGTGGGAAGTAATAACTGAACCTTGTTACTAGCAAAACTGAACCCAAAAGGCAGATGGTGAGGAAGGTAGTTGCTTCCTTCTGATCACATTGTGACGCACTCCTCTCCATCGTGTGAGTAGCCAGTAGTCAAGCTGCGACTCAAGGTGAATATTATAGATTCTCTATACAGTAATCTATAAACTATATTTTGTATTTCGATAGAAGTCATGTATATAAGGTGATATTCTTGAATCCTGCTCCAAACGTGATTCACATGATGTCATATATATATGCATGACATCATGTGAATCACACAGGATTCAAGAATATCACCTTATATACATGACTTATATCGAAAAAATACAAAATATCCAAATGCACTAGTGTGACGTTTAATATATATATATAAAATTGGCATGTATAAGTCATATATAGTGCATTTGGGTGTTTTGTATTGAACGAGAAGATGCCATGGGAGCAGAGAAACACGAACTCTCTGCTCCCATGACATCTTCTCGTTCAATACAAGATATCCAAATGCACTAATATGACGTTCTATATTTATTATATACCCTCTCATGTCATCCGTATTGCTCCCCTGTATTACTATCCTAAGTTCACATGGGTATTGTGTTGCATGACAGTGTTGTCATTAAAGTGATATTTACATATCTATATACATCCATTGTGTTTCCTAAGAATATGACAAACTATAAGAAGTGTACACATTTCCTAGGAATGACAAGTCTTTATGGATGATCAACTTCTTACAATAGCGACGTTTCGGTATAGACAATTAACAATGAAAACAAACATAATTATACATGATACAAGCCGAGGCAAGATAAAAGCATGATAAATAGGATTACCAATGAAAGCGGGGATAACTAATTGAGGGAGAAGGAGTTAATTTCATAGCATGGTAATTACGCACAGGCTATTTTACAAGAATATTTTTAGAAATTGACATCAAAATACGAAAATGTTATACATTATAGCAATACATATCGATCAGTAGAACAACGTTTAGGTTGGGAAAGGGCTATAGAGAACTGAAGAGTAATTTCAAACATATTTGCCTTGAGTTAGTTTGTTTTACTTGGTAGAGGAAGAGTGGAAGATAATTTCTGAAAATCCTCCAGCAATTATTAATACCGTTTTTATAGCTACATATTTTCCCACAAATATACATAGCTCTATTTGCATCCGACCCTGTCAGAATCAAAAGCTGCAACATGCAGTATCAGATCCAGGACCGTGGTTTGTAATGTTTCCTTCCGTGATCTCCCATTTCCCTCGACCCGAATCTCACCCATACAAAATAGAACACTCCATAGGAACCAAAGCTCCATAAATTTGCTTCAGTCCCTCATCCAAAACTATGACCTTGATAAACTCAGATGCTGTTAAAAGCAAGTTAAACAGTAAAATATCGCACTACTTTCAATCTCGTTTTTCAGAAATCTTCACCACAACAGCCATGGTTGATGCCGTGGTGATGACCCTACTGTGTGCTGCTGTAGCAGGTCAGTACACATGCATCCTCATAATTTATTATCCACGATACAAGATCGCAATGCAGTCTGTATTTGTTTCACTGCCTGGATACACGTGATTTTCTCACAGCCTAGACTGTTGATGACTCGGTATGTGAAAGTCATAGTCTGTTTCCTTGACTGTCTCAATGGAAGCCATCATTGCTGGTACGTCGAAAGATAATAACTGCTTTCAGGCGGTTGTAGTTGTAAGATTCGCAACATGATACACGTTATATGGAATAAGATACATACTTGGAATTCACAATGACTCTTAGAAGGTGGTCAAATGTAACACGTTATATTTTGGATTACACTTCTCAGTAAAATACAGATTCTAGATTATACATGCTATATTCTCATAAGAGTAGTTGTTGTTTTTTAACCACTCTGTTGGATTATAGTTATGAAGGCACAGTGTCATTCACACTTTCTCAGTAAAGCACAGATTCTAGTACTTTTGTTGGGTTGAGTCCCATCCGGGATTCGAACCAACACCCTCAGAGTCAGGCACCTAATCGCCAGCACACACAGTCAGCCGCCTAACCCACTGAGCCACTGAGCTTCCACAGTAGAAGCCCTGACTCAACACAAGAAAAGTACTAGAATCTGTACTTGACTGAGAAAGTGTAATCCCAAATATAACAAGTGTTATACTTGCTTATTTCGACGAGAATAAGAAATGGAAACGTGTTTCGGATTTATTGTCTTACATTAATATCAGTCATTTCATTGTATGTCGTCTCTTTGTTCATAGGTTCCGCTACCAGCAGTAGTTGCAGCAACTGTGACGGTAACAACGTGACCTGTGTTGACGGTGTGTGTCTACCTCGCTGTGTCAGTGTGACGTCATCTGGAGAGTGTCTCCAGTGTCTGGACTCCAGGTTCTATGGTAAACAGTGTCAACATGACTGTCCAGACACCTGTCTCAACTCTCGCTGTCAGATGAACAACACCCGTGTTGTGTGTACAGAGGGATGTGTGGCCGGCAAGAAGGGAGATAACTGTGGTGTGAACTGTCCTACAGCCTGTACACAGTGTGAACGTTATGGTGATGGTTGTACAGGACCGTGTCAGAATCCCCAGTATTACGGTCAACACTGTAGAACACCTTGTCCCTCCAACTGTACAGGTGGATGTAATAGGATCACAGGGGAGTGTGGCAGCTGTGAGCCAGGGTACACAGGGGACAAGTGTGATGTTACCTGTCCCTCCAACTGTAGAGGTGGATGTAATGGGATCACAGGAGAGTGTGACAGCTGTGAGCCAGGTTACACAGGGGACAAGTGTTATGTTACCTGTCCCCCCAACTGTAGAGGTGGATGTGATAAAGACACGGGGGAGTGTGGCAGTTGTTTTGAAGGGTACAGAGGGGACCACTGTGACAGCTGTGAACCAGGTTATACAGGGGACTACTGTAACATTACCTGTCCCCCCAACTGTAGAGACTGTGACAGGGAAACAGGCGAGTGTATACACTGTGTTGAAGGGTACTGCAAGGGTGGATGTGACGAGCAGGGAGATAACTGTAACAGCACATCTTGTAAAACAACATGCCGAGCAAACTGTAATGTTTATGACTTCACACAAAACCAGTGCAGTGGACCTTGTATCAACGCCAACTACTATGGAAAGATATGCACCATTCCATGTCCAGATAACTGTGACAAATGTGAGAAAGACTCTGCGAGATGCCTCAACTGTGCACCAGGTGTGAGAGGGGAACTGTGTAACGAGTCGTGCCCATCTAACTGTAAACTGTGCGGTCGCTATGACAACAAATGCATTGGCCTCTGTCACGACAGTAACTACCACGGAGTGAGCTGCTCCGATCCATGTCCCGTCGGCTGTGAAGGGTGTGAGAAGGACACTGGACTGTGTATCGGTTGTGCCCGGAGCTTCAGTAGGACATACTGTGATGATATGTGCTCTCCGTGTTCACAGGACACGTGCCACAGAGAACCTTGTCAAAAACGTATGTAACATAATTCACTCATGTATTCCTTTATACCCAGGGTTTTACCTTGACCAACAAAATTAGGAGACCATAGGGGACCCGACCCCACCCCCACACACACACACCCCACACACACACACACACTTATTAAATTCAAGTTTCCGTACATGAAATACGAGTCGTGTGAAGTGATGAAATGATGTAGCAGACTGTACTCTAAGGTTTAATGATTACTTTCATTACAAGAACTTTCTTGTCACGAATTTTGAACATTGAATATTATTGTGCGTTCCAGGGGACACATTATATGTATTTTTTCTGCGTCCATTGTATACGTCTGTGCATATTGGACGCACATTTCTGCGTCGCGTCAAATCCTGTTAATGCCTATTGTAACATCACTCTGGTATACATAGATGTTTAGCACGTTTCCAAAATGAAAGTGAAGCTTCATATTATTGCCTCTTTGAATAATATTTAAATGTTTCATGGAAAGCCAGATGTGATACAGGGCTGTTTGTTGGTATCAAACAAACGTGATGTTTCGAAACACATGTCGCGCCTTGAAGAAAGTACTCCACATAGCGTCTTCACCCTCTGGGCACCACTGTCGTTTGTCAGAATACTTACATTTTAACTATATTTAGTGAATTATATAATCAACGGATATGTTTATATTTATAAAGGATGTAGTTAATATTATGTGCTCTGTAATGTTTGGTGTATCAAGCAAACTAAAACGAACAATTTTTAGATAAAGTTGCTATTTGGATCATTTTCTTTGACGTTATTTGAGATAAAACACATGTGATAGAAAACAGGCAGAATTTTTTCCATAATCATACTAGATATTGCTCATAGCAAATATCCCTTGTATTATTCAAACTATGTGATAAGTATGTGTTATGAATCACTTTATATAAGTGATGGTACACGTAAGTGTTCGTGAAAAGATGAGAATATCCTGCTCGTCCCGTATCACATGTCCCAACCATATGTAACTGCAACTCAATGTTTCACTTAAAAGAACAGGAACATAAGGTACAACGGAAAACAACACACACGACGTTCCTATGAATCTCCAGTGAGTGAGTGAGTGAGTTTAGTTTTACGCAATATTACAGCTACATGGTGGTGGTCTGTAAATAATCGAGTCTGGACCAGATAATCCAGTGATCAACAACATGAGCATCGATCTACGCAACTGGGATACGATGACATGTGTCAACAAGGTCAGCGAACCTGAACACCCGATCCCGTTAGTCGCCTCTTACGATAAGCATGGGTTGAGCGGAAAAAAGACGGCCATTTTGTTTTTATGACGTCATCCCGCAAGTGTGTGACCTTTTGTGACCTTATCGATTTTGACAGTGAGTTTTGAACCCTTAAGCCCCACAGCCCCCTTTTGGATGACTCCCCTTCCGGCCCAAGTGTGTGTGACCTTTAGGTTGACTTCATACAGAACAACCCCTAAAATACAACCCCATACACAAGAAGCTTACACCAGTATTTAATCATATTATACAGCCTGTGGAATAAGAGCAGGTAACGACGTCAGTAACCCATGTGTAACATGATGTAAAATAAGCGTATTGTCATATAGTATTCATGGGAATGGAAATAAAATGGTTTTTGATGTTAATTTAACAGTTTGCAATTAAAGTTCAACTTTAAAATTTTGAGTAAAGGCATCCGAAAGTTTTACAGGAGAGCAAATATAAGTTTGTTTTCTTATTCAGTAATACAATTACACCATATATTACAAATGCCAAACCATTTCATCATTGTCCAACCATTTGACTCTTAATCCATCCTACTTGAGTTATTCAGTATAGTGAGCACCAGTCCTCAACTGCTTACTATTTCCCGTATTTAATTCCGGTCACACACTTAATGACGGAAGCTGACACCTGAGTATACATACATTCAATCTAGGCTGTGCGCCATTCACGTTAAAAATGATCCAGGCTATCAACAGACATACCATGTACACATGGCTACCGTCTGGCGTCTTCACCCTCTGGGCACCACTGTCGTTTGTCCGAATACTTACATTTTAACTATATTTAGTGAATTATATAATCAACGGATATGTTTATACTTATAAAGGATGTAGTTTATATTATGTGCTCTGTAATGTTTGGTGTATCAAGCAAACTAAAACGAACAAATTTTAGATAAAGTTGCTATTTGGATCATTTTCTTTGACGTTATTTGATAAAACACATGTGATAGAAAACAGGCAGAATTTTTTTCCATAATCATACCAGATATTGCTCATAGCAAATATCCCTTGTATTATTCAAACTATGTGATAAGTATGTGTTATGAATCACTTTATATAAGTGATGGTACACGTAGTAAGTGTTCGTGAAAAGATGAGAATATCCTGCTCGTCCCGTATCACCTCTCCCAAGCATATGTAACTGCAACTCAATGTTTCACTTGAGTGCGAGTGAGTTCAGTTTTATGCCGCACTTAGCAATATTCAAGCTATATGACGGCGGTCTGTAAATAATCGAGCCTGGATCAGACAATCCAGTGATCAACAGCATGAGCATCGATCTGCGCAATTGGGAACCGATGACATGTGTCAACCAAGCCAGCGAGCCTGACCACCCGATCCCGTTAGTCGCCTCTTACAATAAGCATGGGTTGAGCGGAAAAAAGACGGCCATTTTGTTTTTATGACGTCATCACACAAGTGTGTGACCTTTTTGTGACCTTATCGATTTTGACAGTGAGTTTGAACCCTTAAGCCCCACAGCCCCCTTTTGGATGACTCCCCTTCCGGCCCAGGTGTGCATGACCTTCATACAGAACAACCCCCTAAAATATAACCCCATACACAAGAAGCTTACACCAGTATTTAATCCTATTATACAGCCTGTGGATTAAGAGCTGGTAACGACGTCAGTAACCCATATGTAACATGATGTAAAATAAGCGTATTGTCATATAGTATTCATGGGAATATATATATTACAAATGCCAAACCATTTCATCATTATCCAACCATTTGACTCTTAATCCATCCTACTTGAGTTATTCAGTATAGTGAACACCAGCCCTCAACTGCTTACTATTTCCCGTATTTAATTCCGGCAGAGGCCATATATTAGAGGGACGGCCCTTCCCAACAGTTTATCACTAACCATCAGCGGTACGGCCTGGCATGTAACTGATACACATCGACACCTAGTCTGTCTCACAGTCCCTGAACCACATTAATTTCCCTACTGCCTTGCCCTCTCTGCAGGCTAAAGCCCTAAATAAAGCAAGTCTAGATTTCCTCAGAATCTCTGGTCTCCCTAGGGCTCCTTTTCAATATAAATGGGCTTGTTTGTTACTATCAAAATTATATATATTCAGAGACTAAGCCTTAGTCTAATCGACGCCCTGCTGCTTACTTCCCTCTACCGGTACACATCCGCAACAGATGCGCAGACATTCGCAAATGAGCACTCTGGTAACCACGTAAACAATATTGCGTAATATCCGGGCCGAGAGTTAATTCCCTTAGCGGGATTTCACCGGCTGCGTTTGACAGTTAAACATTACATGGACAGCTCCAATAAACTGATTACAATAATCTTAATTTTTATGTTATCTCTCATTTGCACATGTCAACTGACAACATCGCAGAACATGTATCATTCGCGAAGTGCGTGTCGTCATAAGCCTGAAATATTTGTTTCATCATTTGGCATGGCCATGGACGACTTAATTCATTCACTGGGATGATTCCGACTTGGACCTCGATACTTACTTGGAGAATTTACAGACTACGACAGGACAGAGAATATAAACCAAAAATACAAAAATCAAACTAACCCAGTCAGGTGAAGGCAGTTTTAACATTACAATTGCCAATATCCCCCATGCTCGCTAAACGTATCATCACATGGCTAATCTGAAGATTTACTTGCAAGTATTCGTTGGCACAAAACGAGGGTGTGGTCAAGCAGTCGATGAAAGTAAAAATTCCCGTGAATTTATAAAGAATGTGCAGATTTGCAAGCGTTGGACTTGCTTCGACCTCACCCCTGTTGTGTGCGGACATATCGTCATCCATTTGTGTCAAGATCGTTTAGTTGAGAGTCAAAATCGGTTTTCAATCGACTTGCAGAAATAACAATAAAGAATTGGTAGGTGTCATGAGTGTTGCTCGATAGGCCAATCATCCATGATTATGTTTACATAAAGTTTTAATCGATTGCATGCGATGGTAGCGTAGCGTTTGGCAACGCAGTCGGGTAGGGTGCACCCTAGAAGTGTCCGGCCTTGTAATTATGTATTGTACTGTGAAACATTTCGAGTCGGGGTGTCATCTCAAAAACAATATTTTTAAAATCATGAATCCTCGGAAAGACACGAGGGCCTGTGACTGGCTGGTGTTTCACTAAATGACACATTTTCCAAGAGCGTTGGTTTTTATAATGTCAGTTGTTGGGCTAGCAGTGATTATGCTTTGTGCCGTATGGAGACACTTGATGTTAGTTTTCAAAGGGATTCCGGTCAAACATTTACTTAATGACGGAAGCTGACACCTGAGTATACATACATTCAATCTAGGCTGTGCGCCATTCACGTTAAAAATGATCCAGGCTATCAACAGACATACCATGTACACATGGCTACAGTCTGGCCTTTAAACTACAACAAAACGAAATTTATGGCCAACTTGTCCGGCTATCTTTCTGGGCACAGGAAGCTGAACACATCAACCCCAGTTCCGCACCAAATGTCACCTACTTGAACATATCTGTACACACGTAAGTATAAGTCATGGTGATAAAAATGACAGCACTAAATACTTAAAATTGTGGTCAGTTTTAATGACTGGATGGATGTGATTTTAAAAAACATAAACATCTTACACTATTTCATCCAATCACAGCTGTCACATGTCACTGTCTCTTCAGTTATGGCTTGGCTCAGCGAGCAAGCGATTCTGCTTTAGTGTAGTGATGACAGCGTAATCTATTTTAAACTGCCTATTGATACCTGCAAAGGTTTGATTTAACAAACTGCGCTCTGATATTTCGAACAAGACTGCTTTTGACCTACTAAATAGCATCTTTAGCATCTAAATTCACCTAATATTCATATTGTAATATTCATTCTACGTTGATATGAAAAAGATATGACGTTTGCTGTGTGAACCCAACACTCGAGTCGGCAAATGAAACTCATACCACTCTTATTCATAAAATAATTGAATAATAATCACAGACCACTAAGGTCAACCTAAAGGTCACACACACCTGGGCCGGAAGGGGAGTCATCCAAAAGGGGGTGGGGTGGGGCTGAAGGGTTCAAAATCGATTAGGTCACAAAAAGGTCACACACTTGTGTGATGACGTCATAAAACAAAATGGTCGTTTTTTTTCTGCTCAACCCCCAACCTCTACAACAGTCATTGTTATTTGAAGAAAATAGCTCTTGACGTCATCTTATCGGTTTTTAGTGTTTTAGTCGTAAAGTGACTCGTATTCATGGACTTTCTAGAGAATACCTTTCTGACCTAGAAAGGATTCTAAAAACAGTCCCTCTGTCCCACATATATATTTTGCATTTGAACACAATTATTCTAACACATTGAAATTAGGAAATGTGCGGAGTTATATAAAAATCAAAGGACCTAAATTTCAGTGCAATGCATGGTAACTACTTGGCTAAGAAGGAATCGCATTTTTGATAATAAAAGTGACGAAATTTGATTGTACGATTCCGACTATATCTTAAGCTTGTGTTCATAAATTACCATACGAAAGTGATCCATACCATACCATACCAGGTAATCGGTAAAATGTGAGCGTATCCTGCCCCACCAGTGGCACCCTTTACAAACACATGCAAAGGCATAAAATACAAAAAACAATACACGGGAAAAGTAAACAAAAGAAAGAAAAGATGTGGAATTACACATTGTCTCTGAGTTTGTCTCTGAGGTGTCAAATTTGGAAAGATCTTTCACATGTCGATAATAAAACTACATATCCGTTACAGGACCATTGTGGCAAGTTTCCCTCACTGAACCGTAAGGTGTACTTTTCACACGTCAAAATGATTTCCCAAAATATCCCTTTTATTTTCACCTGAACACACTTTGGTTATTTCTTTTGGGGCATTAGCAGGACTCCTATGCTCCTACGCAAGTCAAAATGATTCATCAATACTTTTATTTCAGGTTCACCTGAACACACTTTGGTTATTTCTTTTGGGACACTAGCAGGATTCCTATGCTCCTACGCAAGTCAAAATGATTTACCAAATTAACCCTTTTTATTTCAGGTTCACCTGAACACACTTTGGTTATTTCTTTTGGGGCATTAGCAGGACTCCTATGCTGCACTGTTCTAGCCATGATCATCATATTTCGGATATATGTGAAGAGGAGGTAAGTGCTAGTACTTCTTTACTCTTAAAATGATTTTGAGAAAATGTAAGTTCAAACTGACTTAATACTTTAATGGGATCTATTTTTAGAGGCCCAGTCCCTTATTACATTAGCTGTGACAGGTAAAGAACGAATTACAACATAGATAAATACCTGGAGCTGGTTGTCGTCTTGATGCTTACATTTTGATGGACTGCAGTGTATGAGTGTTTCTTCTGACATCATCATGATTTTCTGATGTTAATTGACGATGTTTTAGAGTGGATTTTCCACTGCAGATTTGGTATTGTAAACACCTTTCATCGGTAATAATTTTCTGTAATACTGACATTTACATCGGATAACGGGTTTTCCGCTATTTTAACAGAAACACAGATACTCCTTTCTTCAGGAACATTTCAAGAACAATCAACAGCACCAATGCTACGTACAGTGAGATAGATGACAGTTTAGTTTCACCATCACGGCCAACGAGACCTGCTTTACCTCTGAAAGAAATCCCCAAGAAAAGGAGGGCTGTCTTGGATGCATCGGCGCTTCCCGAGATGGAGAGTGTTTCTTGCTGTGAGTCGATCCAGAATGAATGTGATGCTGATGTAGCCATGTCTGAACAAATCCATCACCTGACTGAAAAGACTGATTCAATAATCTTTATTGAAGAAAACTGTGACTTGTCAAATGTGAATGTAAGATATCTTACAACGGACACACAAACATAACCCAGGATGTGAATGAAACGTTTGAGGAGTGAGCGTTTTTTGAGAAGTGAACTATTTACATATCTTCATAAACATGAAGCTTGAACATCAGTTTGTCGCAATGCCTGGTCTGATGCAACTGTCCTGTCACAAAACAAAACAAATCCAACTTAAATTATTAGGGCCATCCTTATTTCAAGTGTACATGAATAATGTAACAACTTTCAAAACTATCTGTATCACTGGATGCTTCGCCTATGATACATAGATTGGAACGTCAACAACTGATACGGCTGAAATTGTTCACATATATAATTCTATGAGTTTACCTTAAAATTGTTCGAATGAACTTTTTTTGAAAGACATTACAACATAAAATAGTTTTGCAAACATCAGTCGGGATTCACTGACCTAAGGTTGTCACCAAATTTGTTACTCGCCATGTTAACAAGCACTTTTGTGGGACATTTTGTGACATTGCAAACACATGCGACATGTCATAATATAAAGGCACACTGGAAAATCTCATAAAACAGAGTATGGCACAAAGGTGCATTGGATAGGTATGACATAAATATGCATTGGATAAGGTTATGCCACAGGGTACGGCATAAAGGTACATTGGATGAGATTATACCACAGAGTATGACATAAAAGTACACTGGATAAGGTTATACCACAGGGTATGACATAAAGGTACATTGGATAAGGTTATACCACAGGGTATGACATAAAGGTACACTGGATAAGGTTATACCACAGGGTATGACATAAAGGTACATTGGATAAGGTTATACAACAGGGTATGACATAAAGGTACATTGGATAAGGTTATACCACAGGGTATGACATAAAGGTACATTGGATAAGGTTATACCACAGGGTATGACATAAAGGTACATTGGATAAGGTTATACCACAGGGTATGACATAAAGGTACATTGGATAAGGTTATACTACAGGGTATGACATAAAGGTACATTGGATAAGGTTATACCACAGGGCATGACATAACGTTACACGACAAAAAGCTTATACTACAGGGTATGACATAAAGCTACACCTGGAAACGATTACATAATATAACACTAATGGTAACTTATTAGTTACTTGTAAGATCGTCGCCGAGGAATGTCTCAGTGGCCATTTATCGATTCACACTTTTAGCAGAGCAGATGTCACACTTGATTCAGTACTGGGGCCATTCTTATTTCAAGTGTGCATAAATAATGTAACAACTTTCAAAACTATCTGTACCACTGGAATTTTCGCCTATGATACATAGAATGGAACTTCAACTACTGATACGGCTGAAATTAAAAAAAACAAATATGAATTTCTAAGCATTCTTTTTGCATGAACAACACCGTTTTCAACGATTCATGAAAACAGCGGAATTCACAAAATGAAAGAGGCAATAATTAACAGTAATTCTGTTACTGATTTTAAAACAAGAATTTGTCCAAATGTACGTACAATTGCCATCAGACACATCACACTAAGACCCAGTAGTAATAAGAATATTGATGTGTTTTGAGTTTAGATCTGACATTGTTTCATTTGCATACGCCCTTATATGTAGTGATTTGTCATTGAAAATCGAAATCTTAAAAAACCTATATGAAGAATGATTTAATTGTTAACTATTTCCATCAATTTATAGTGTAAACTTAAATATTTCTATCTAAACCATTAAGGTCTAATTGACCCTACGTCTCTGTTGTATTATGTTTTCCATGTTGCATTTATATGCATGTATATTTTCACAGAAGAAATGTTTTAGTTATAGTGTACAGGATGTAAATATCGTATTAATGTATGTATTGTAAATCAATGATATTCCATGTATAAAACACAGTTTAGTAAGTATTTACTTACTCTCACGCCTTACTTAAATTCAGTATGTTCATCATTGTCTTAGTTGCACTTACTAGATGTGCTATGACAGTAACGCTTCATAAAAATATGTAAAAATGTTCCGCTATGCATATCACTCGTGGCTGTTCTGCATGTTACCCTAAACAATCACAGTAATATAATAGTCATAATACATATTGATGAATACACGCACGCACGCACGCACGCACTCATGCACGCACACAAACAGAGACATAGTCGCGAGTGGTTGTTGTGTGGTCAGGCAGTGAATTGCTCATTCCAGCCAACATGCACAGTGTACATATGATATCTCACGTGTCTCAGGTCTTGCTGTTGATATTTACATATTACACTATTTGATTAAATAAATGGATTTTGCATTTAACAGAACTCCTATGTGATAACAGCCGACTAAGGTGGTTGCCTGTGCAACTTGTTGATTGTATTGTCAGAGAGTGGTTGCAGCTATCTTTGCTAATCGCGGTTATACTGTTGCTTGGCTAATCAGATTGTGTATTTGGTTTGTATCATGGCTTGTTAATCACCTGTCTATTGTCAGTGTTAATTGGGGCATTGATCCCTTACATCGCATGTCTAAGGTACTACTAATTCAACTTTCTCCACGTGTTAGGGCACTAGTTTAGTCATATGTAATGACATCCTGATCACAAGGAAATATGTCGAGGTTTGTGAATAAATAAAGTCGGACACAATTTTCAAATATTAACTGAATACCAAATCCTTCGGCAAGTTGTTGAGGGAGTAATTTCTCAACAACAAGGTGAATGTTATCGGGGTTGAGTGTGTTTTCGAAATAAATTCTCGATGATAATTCTTGAACAAATATGCTTGAGAGAAATAAAATTGAAACAATTGAATAAAATGAAACAAGATTCTAAAGATGTTCATTTTATTTACGTTAACTCCCAAATTCGGAGTGGTGTTAAAGCAATAATGTTACTAGTTAGGTCGGAATTCATTTTGTTCCTAGTGCTACTAGGTGTTCCCAGTGAAACTGGTTCTGTTTTTTTTATGAAAATGTATGCAACCTGTTAAAGGATTCTTTACAGAAGAATCCCATTTGCCAAGTCTTTAGTCTGCGCATCACTGGTCACTCTGCAAAGTCAATGATGCTAACAGAACTATGATAGATTAGCTATGAGTGATTGAGTATAGTTTTACGCCGCTTTTAGCAATATTCCAGCAATATCACGGCTGGGATTCACACATTGTACCCATGTGGGAAGTCGAACCCAGGTCTCCAGATTGACGAGCGAACGCTTTAACCAAGCTATAAATGAAGTCTCTGTCTGAATCTTAGTAGACTAACAAACAGAGTGGTTGTTTGACACAACAGAAATAATTGAAAACAATCTACATTTCAGAATTTGATAGCCCGATATAAATCTGATTCAACACTTACTTTTCAAGTCATTAGGACCGCAGTCAAATAGAATTCAGCTCGAAAATCACGTATGACGTCATCAGGCAGCTGACGTCAGTAGGTCAACGTATGGTAGCCTGTATACATGCAGATGGCAAATACACGTTATAGGGCACCGTAAAAATAACAGGAACAATTTCAGTCTTACAGTGGCGTCTATGTCAAAGTAGATGACCTAAAACTAATTGATTTTACGCCAGTGTGTGCTCATTACACATTCCCTAATGTTTAATTGTGTCGTGTGGATAATGTTTTATGTATTGTGATGCAACCCGATGATGACCTAATTCAAAACATTAATGCTGACATGGATATAAACTGACGGCCAAAAGAAACTTTACTACATTTCTAAATCAATCTAGTTTAGAAACCACAAAAGTAAAATATCTTGATTTGATAAAAATCTCATCGAAATCAACATTTTAAATGACATTCATACTGAAATCGATATTGACATGTGACATTTGCTCTAACTGAAGTGTGTTAGCACAACCCAACTTTCAATGTAAGGCATATATGCATCTAAAGTCGCTGGAGTTCCATGTCCCATTAATAGTATGTATCACCATCCCCTGCTACAAGAAAGGCAAACACTCCCCGGGGCACAGAAAAAGTCTGTCGCCATTGTTCTTGAATAGCCTGGAACAAGACTGTGTTATATATTCTTAAAAAAAAAGAAACATGACATGCTGTTTTGGAGTTACTGTATTTACTGAGTGTATATAGCTGCTTCAAACATGACATCAATGCTCAATCACAGTAAATTCACAAATTTCCAAAACATGATTATCCAGAAAGTGTTTGGTAAAACCACAGAGGACTATTAAAGTCTCTTGGTCAGAGTAAAATGTCAGTATCTGGTGTGACCACCATGAGCATCGATAACAGCTTGGCAGCGGCGGCCCATACAAGAAAGGAGATGCCGAATGCCGTCTTGAGGAATGTTTTGATACACTTGCTGAAGTGCTGCGTGCAGTTCTTGTAGTGTCTGAGGTGGCGGATTACGCTGGTAAGCGTCGATCAAGAGTATCCCATAAATGTTTAATGGGGAACAAATCGGATGATTGTGAAGGCAATGTAACACCTGGACGTGGTTTCGCTGGAGGAAGTCCTGGCAAACACGTGCAACGTGAGGTCCAGCATTGTAAGGCTGGAACGATTAACCGTTGACGTTAATGAAGGGAACGACGTGAACCCCATTCAATGCACCTGCCACGTGCACAAGAGCTCTCGACCATGACGGTGAATACCTGCCCAGACCAAGACACTTCCACCACCAAATCTATCAACCTTCTGTACACAGTTATCGGCATAACATTTGTTCCGACGTCTGTATACACGTGAACGGCCATGAGCGCGTCTAAAAAGAAATCGAAACTCATCTGAGAACAAAATTATCCCCCATCTTGCCCGCAGCCATCTCATTCGTTGTGCCAAGACTTTACGTCGAACTGGTCTTCTGACAAAAGGTCTGGCCTCCCGTAGCCGATTGCGCACTGTCTGGTCGGTGATTCGGCGCAGTCCAGGGGTTTGGGTTGTTGTGGATGTTGAGGTCGTGGTGCGTGAACGAAGATGTCTCAACTGGATGTAGCGATCCTGTAACTCTAGGTCGACTTGACCTGGGTCTGTCATTAACATTCCCAGTATTGTATCGGGTCCATAGGTTTGAGATGGTCTGTCTGTGCCTTGCCACCTCATGCTGCGATGCCCCTGCGTGTATGTGGAGTACCGTTGTTGTGGCTTTTTAACGCCTTCAGTCATAGGCTTCAGCTCGGGGTGATACACAATTTCATGATGCACGGTCATTTCAAGTAGGGTGCGTTTTAGCGTTTCACTACAAACGTGAGTGTAACGTTACGTTTTTTGCAACGTTTCTTTTTGGGATTCAAGATGGCTTGGTTTGTGTCAAATATTTTGCTAAAAGTCAATTTGTTCCTCTGTCAAGTTTCTTATTTTTTTAGAGTATATATGCGTTGTCAGTCGGCTAGGATTTGCTTTTTACGAACCTTTACACTGGTGTATATTTTGCTGTGGCCAAATCAAATTAAAATGATTCGGCAAGTCTAGATTGCCTCAGTTTTTAATAATCGCTCTTGGCTCCTTTTGCATTACATTTTAATTATATATTTTCATATCAGAAAACTGTATTTCAGGCACAAACGTCACTCCATTTGACAGGAAATACCTGTCTTCAGACAATGCATTACAGAATTAAAATCGAGTGAAAAGAATGGTTTTCGCCCAGTCATTTTATGTTTTACATATATACGTTTAGGTCCTATCATAAACATTGCCAAACAGCATCCATCCAATATAGTCCTAAAGTGTTGTGGTATTTGTATCGGTCAGAGTTGTGGAAGTTGTTACAGACAAGACATATATTACCACTCCAGGAGACTTACCTATGTGAGCTGTGACCTAGGTAGTTTTGAGAAAACGTTTTCAGAAAAATCCTCTTATTTTTCAGTTTCAGTACGAACGTTAGGTCTTATACTTGCACAAAAATATAGAGATCTAACTCCGATGTTAGAATGAGAAGTCCATTTCGATTTTACTTCTTTTCTTACGTTATTTAGTACTATTTCATCATTTTTATGACTGGCGATGATAAAACAGTCAGATTTCTAGTTAACGAAATAGTACGAAAATAACTCTCCTTATTCCACAGTGAATGCAGCCCCAAAGAGCTGATTTACAAGGATTAGATCTAAGCCGAGACGAGTTATGATCTTTATCGTAGGTCGTGCGGAAAACCTGTCTTTGACGTCGTGGAGTAAAATCGACTTTAATTCAGTTCAGAAAGTAGTTTGCTTACTCACAGTTTCTATACAGCTGCAATGGGGACAGTAATCATTTCGGTGTACGTGAAAATATGTGCAGTATGTATTTAGCCTTATTAAATATCCGACAACACATTGCAGTGTCTATAGTTCAAGTTTAATACTTGCAGTTGATTTTCCAATCTCAGAAAGATAACGATACAAATCTACATCAAAGCTCAGTTTTACTGTCAGAGGCAGACAGAGGGACGGGCGACCGCAACCTTCCATATTCCGAACACATAAACTGTTAATTCATCATCACCACATACATTGAATTTTTGTTATTATTACAAGGTGATAGTATTGTGGGACATTCTTTTAGGTTCTAAATATATTTTAGAACTGAACTTTATAACACAAGGAAATATTTTAAGTTTGTGATCAGGTGACCAATTGGACCATGTTTTCATAAGCTTCCGTAAAGGAAACGGTTACTGAATCACTGGGCCTCCTGGCCTTCCTACATATCGTGATTAGCTAGCCGTCAAGCTGAGACAGCTGGACTGGAGCCTGACATAAAGGTGAATATTTTATATCGTATTAACTGCATATCACTGGAACACTGATCTGATCATGTAACTAAGGTACCACCGGCATATGCTCAAAACAATTTCGGGAGAACTATTTTACCTGAAATACCTACGTGAAGATCTGACGTAGAACTGGTCTTCAGTAACCCATGCTTGTCGTAAGAGGCGACTAACGGGATCGGGTGGTCAGGCTCGCTGACGTGGCTTATGCATGTTATCGTATCCCAATTGCGTAGATCATGTACATTCTTGGATTATCTGATCCCGACAAAATCAATTACTGAACTCAACAAGCAAACAAATACACATAGTCAAACAAGCATGAGCGAGTGGAGTAGTAGTAAGTTGGGTGTTACGATGCTTTTTCAATACAAACTTTTCAACGTTTTTGACCAACAATCTTACTTCAATTTTCATAACTGTAGTTCGCATCAACCATGTATGTAGATAAATGTTACAATTGATTTGCTTTATTTGATAAACGACCCTGATAATTACAGTAATAATTACAATGCCAATGTTTGGCGGAGATGTGAAATCAAACTTCGATATGAAATGTTTTCCTCGTATTGGCTTGAGAAAATTACTCCAAATGTACTAAGCGACTCTTATAATAATGCATCTATCACATAATGTAATTGTAGACCAGCTGTGTAAAAATATCAGTGTAGTGTTAGGGGGTTCATGGCCAAATATCGCTTCACTGCCACTTGAGAACCGTGATGGTATTAAAAGTTGTTGAAAGCAGTGTTAAATCACAATATCCTACATTGCTAACAATCTATGTTTCAGAACTCTTCAAGCTCTAACAATGGTTAATGTCTTGAGGCTTATCCTACTGTGGGCTGCATCGCAAGGTTTGTATACATGTCTTTCATTCATGCGTTCCGTGATGCACTGTCGTAGTCCATTCCCCGTCACAATCTTCACTGTATATTCGTGTTAACAGTGTCATGCTTTTCTCATACCAATGAACATGTCGTTGAACTGATAGTTTTTCACGACTGAGTGTTTTCCTGGCGGAAACACAGTATGTATTTGGCATATTAGAATACATACCAGTGTGATGACCCAGGAGATATGATTCCAGATTTCAAGACTGTCAACAGATACTACAGAACCTGCTAATGGCCGAACAATACACTTTACAAATGGTTACTTGTTTTGATCAGAATGCTTTCAATCGTAATAGGAAAATAAATTAAGTCCGACTTAATGTCTTTCAATAATATCAGAATTTATATTGCAAACCACCTCACTGTTTACAGTTTCCTCTACAAGCACACCTTGTTCCAACTGTGACCGTAACAACGTGACCTGTGTTGACGGTGTGTGTCTACCTCGCTGTGTCAATGTGACGTCATCTGGAGAGTGTCTCCAGTGTCTGGACTCCAGGTTCTATGGTAAACAGTGTCAACATGACTGTCCAGACACCTGTCTCAACTCTCGCTGTCAGATGAACAACACCCGTGTTGTGTGTACAGAGGGATGTGTGGCCGGCAAGAAGGGAGATAACTGTGGAGTGAACTGTCCTACAGCCTGTACACAGTGTGAACGTTATGGTGATGGTTGTACAGGACCGTGTCAGAATCCCCAGCATTACGGTCAACACTGTAGAACACCTTGTCCCTCCAACTGTAGAGGTGGATGTGATAGGATCACAGGAGGGGAGTGTGTGACACCTGCTGTGTAAAGGTGGATGTAATGGGATCACAGGGGAGTGTGACAGTTGGGTATGTGATAAAGGGTGTGACAGTTGTGAGCCGGGGTACAGAGGGAAGCACTGTAACATTACCTGTCCCTCCAACTGTAGAGACTGTGACAGGGAAACAGGCGAGTGTATACACTGTGTTGAAGGGTACTGCAAGGGTGGATGTGACGAGCAGGGAGATAACTGTAACAGTACATCTTGTAAAACAACATGCCGAGCAAACTGTATAATTAATGACTTCACACAAAACCAGTGCAATGGACCTTGTATCAACGCCAACTACTATGGAAAGATATGCACCATTCCATGTCCAGATAACTGTGCCAAATGTGAGAAAGACTCTGCGAGATGCCTCAACTGTGTACCAGGTGTGAGAGGTGAACTGTGTAACGAGTCATGCCCATCTAACTGTATGGTCTGTGATCGTTTTGTGGACATGTGTATCGGAGCTTGCCGAGATCCTAACTATCATGGAGGGAATTGCTCGACTCCTTGCCCTGTCAGCTGTGACGGTTGTGACAAGGACACTGGACTGTGTATGAGCTGTGTCCAAGGCTACAGCAGAACCTACTGTGACGAGGTGTGTTCTCCGTGTGTTGGGGACGCTTGCCACAGACTGCCTTGCAAAACACGTGAGTTATTATTCATTCTTGCACGACATTGAAAAAAAGTTTGATATTGATTGTTTAATAAGAGGGAGCTTTTCCCTATTAATACATGTTTAATTAACTCGTTTTCACACAAAACGCGTCAGTTATTATTCATTCTTTCGAGGTTGAAGAATGCTTCATTCCAATTGGTTGAAAAGAGGTACCGTCTTCCTTGTTGATACGTTTATTAAATTATAAATTTTCACGATAAAGACGCTTGTGTGAATTCCTCCATATCCTACATCTCGATCCATAACAATTGCAGCCCATAATAATCCGGAAAAACAATTAATGAAAGTTTCATACATTTGACCATTCTTAGACAGCCTTTTACTGGGTACCAGCTCAGGAATAGACTTTTGATGTAAAGACGTTTCTGCTTGTGTGGTAATCAATAACAGTGAACACCGACAAAGCCTATTAGTGGATAGTCTTGACAAATAGACAAACTGAAAACCTTCACATTAATGAAATATCAAGGATATAGAACAATGATTTTATGGGTTGAAGCCAGTTAATATAATTAAGTGGCACAAATAGAATGACAGATATATTTTCATTGTTGAAATGGTAACGTATAATGCTCTGTGATCTTCTTGATTGAAAGTACAGTTTTATTGCCTGACATTAGCTAATATCACTCAAAACAACACACATATATGATATATTTACGAACAATTTGATCAGAATTATGGTTTAATTACCCTGGTTTGGTGACGTTTTAATCACAATATGTATGCGATCAACTCTGTGTCGTAGTAGATAGAGTGGAAGGTGGTTCGATCCCCTGGTAGTTGGTACGTCACCCTGGCCGGCTCGGAATCAGTAAAGTATGTTTTGGCCCAGTATGTTAACATCTGGCGTGTTATCGTAGTAGACAAGCACTTTTATAAAACCTGCTTAAGGCATATGTGTCGCTACAAAAGTTCGATAACATTACGCTGGACGATAACTCAATTTCTTTCTCACCTTATAAATGTCCGTGTCATGGTTTACCGAACTGCCCTTCCATTTGCAGGTTCGTCTGATCACATCTTAGTAATTTCCATTGGATCAGTAGCAGGGGTTCTATGCTGTGTTATATTGCTTCTCATATTCAAGAGGTAGGTATCAGTTTTAGAACATACATTATACATAAGTAACTTCGTGTTAATCAGAATTATTGATTATTTGTGGAAAAGACTAATTACTGCTGACAGAAGTAAGAGGCGAATATAATGAGATGCTCTTGTAGAGTGACTGAGTAAAAACATGTGAAGCTGAGCTACCTGAGCTAAAAACGAGTTGTTTATAATATTTCCTTTTGTCGAATATATGGGAGGACGTGGATAAGTTGGTATCAGGACAGGAATATAGAGGACAATTTGGCATCAGTCTAGGCAATAAGCTTGACATGAATATTGTATTAGATTGACATTAATCATATCAGTGCATTTGTCTTGATAACTGATGTGATAAACCTATTTTGTGTTATATTCATCTTAGTATACACAATGTAATAATGTGAAGAGATACAGTCTAATTAATACACGTGATGACAACTTTGCAGACGCTTGACTCGAGTACACTGTTCTGATGGCTCCAGCAGGAACCACAGCGATAACATTGCGCACAGATACTGGGAGATTGATGTCAACTTGGTTGCCGGGCAGTCTGACCATGTTGAAGAGTCTGTGAGACCTGCATTACCTCCTACAGACAGACCCCGAGTAAGAACTGCAGGCAGCGCACCATCCGATGGTCAAGGTCCAGTTGCGTTGTCTCACACCCTTCCACCAACGCCTGGGCAAGGCGAACCTGCAGGGAGCGACTCTGAGCTGATAGATTCTGCAGAAGGAAATGGTGATGCAGGAGAGTCTTTGTTGACACTGTTAGCTGCATCAGCCCTTTCTGAGAATGAGAGAGATTCTCAGCGCCAATCTGTCCAGAGTGACACTGGGATCGCGTTTTCAGATGAAATCCAAAGGATGACCGAAAGAACCGATTCGATCATTTTCATTGAAGAGAACTGTGATTTGTCAAACGTGAATGTCCGATATTTGACAGCGAAAAAAGTTGACAGAGATAGTGCTTCTTATGAAATGTGACACACATAATGCATGCAGATTTTAAACTTGTACGTTACAGTAATACTGGAAGTATGTTTGACAAATCCGCCCCCATTTTGGGTAAAAACAATTCAACAAACCGAATACCCCACTTCCGTTTCATAGATTATATTTATAATGATGGAGTAATGATAAAATCTGCTCAAGTTTTATTCACAACTTTTATTAAAAGTTCACCTCGTAAATATATTTTCAATTTCCTGATATCGGACATTAACATACTCATGCAAATACTGACCGTGAAGATCCGTGAATGTGGTAAGAGGCGCAAGAGGCGACTAACGGGATCGGTTGGTCAGACTCCCAATTGCGTAGATTGATGCTCACGAGGTTGATCACTGGATTATCAGGTCCAGACTAGATTACTTACAGACCGCCGTCATATATATGGAATATTGCTGAGTGCGGCGTTAAACAACAAACAGACAGACAGTCATGCAAATACTCAGTACACATGATATTGTACATTTGTATATGTTTTCATTACAATCTCACATGTTGATATAAGAATAGATTTAACTGGAGTATTTCTTGTAAATTCCTGGTCAACTGTTGTAATGTACCGGACTACCCTTGACAGAATGCATTAGTGCCATCTCTCTCTGAGGATACATGACTACGACAGGCAAACATATGCCAACTTAAAGTGTGACAGTTCTGGTCATCTATATGTAATTTGATTGTGAAAGGAATGCCAGTCATGGAAATGCATTTCCTTCTAATGCGGAATTTGCGCCATTTCCATGGTGTGCCACTGTACAAATATTATGCTTAGCTAACTTTACATTCTAGTCACCCTGAACAAGACACGTGAAGCCATGTCCGTCTGGAAGGGGATATGGAACCGACCACTGTGGGTTGTACATGTGTAAACACGTCCACGTCAGAGGATAAACAGTCTCGTCATCCGCCGTTTTGGGTGTAAAACGCAAAAGATCGGTGAAAATGACACACATTTGGAGATCAGTGATGACACGAAGTGATCGCGAAAACCGTAGGCATGTCCTGCAATACCGATATAACCGACCACTCATGTATCTGTAGTTCTTTTGTTGCGTAAGGACACACAGCAGTATGCAATCGAGCCCCAGTCAAACAATCAAGCGATGGCCCTAACTTCACTTGCATATTTTGATTTTGAATGAGGTCTGCCTTGTGTAAAAGTGCAGAGACGCACCTGACTGTTTGGAAACGTTTGAGAAATATATTGGACTGTATATCTCGGTCGAAACATCTCTATCGTAGTTGACTCAGTGTAACTGATAAATGTTTCTGAGTTTAGGATGAACATCCCTCCACCAACAGAAACACCGACCAACTCCGTATGAAAATAAAACGCCGGAGAATAACCAGTCTCATTTATACCCCGAGGCGGAGCTTGCCACACTCGAATTTGTGGTGCAGTGGTTAATGTTTATATGCAAATTAGAGTGAGTATGTACTATATACAATCTCTAATTCATCATCCAGCTACTCAGACTATTGTATTAGTATTGTATTTCAATCTTGCAAGCTAGAATATCTTGACATGAAAGGTAGTTTATATGGTTTCAGTTGCGGGCATATTGTCCGTGACAAACACTTCCTTTCATTGGAGCATGTATGTCTTTTTATTCACTTCCTGCATCAAAATATTTAAAAAAATGTAAAATAGATTTCATTTGTTGATTTGATAATATTCGACATTATATTTCATGCCAATGCTGTGTCAATAAACAAATCATCACACATATTCGTTAATTATTTGGTTTAATCGTTTAGGTCAGGGACAGGAATAAGGTAAACGGACATTTGTTTTACAGTCAAAGTTGTTGAAAGTGTACATATTTCTATGACTCAAAATCAAACTCATCAGCGATACACGTGATGACACTCCATATTGCAACTCAGCGTTTTGGATAAAAATACATATCATTCATACGCCTGTGTGTTCGGATTTTACAGTTATTAGCCAACAGGAAGGTAAATTCTGGTTTCATTCCCCGGTATGACCTCTGACCGTACAACACAGACAATGTGGCCTATATCAGAATATCAACATACACACAGAAGATGGTAGGCTGATACACAGGCCTCTATGCGTGGAGGTCCTAAATCGAGTTACACAGTCCTGAAAGGTTCTTCTTTTAGGATGCCTTTACATGAAGGTGTATTGACTTTGAATGGGACAATGAAGAACATGTATATTTGTTATTTTAACGTGACCAGCTAGAAACATGTTAGAAATATTTGAAATATTCACTTTAGGCCAGTTCGTGGTGATCATATTTGATACAAATTATAGAGACAATAGTTATGGAAAAACAAAAAAAACAAATGACTAATAACATTACGTCTACGAAGGGTAATAAACATTCTCCAGTTGAGTAAGTAATACACACGTACCAACGCCAGTTCACACACACACACATACGCACACACACCATCGCTCTAACACCCCCACCCACTACCTTGTGCATATACAGATAACATATATTGATCCTTTCCAATTATAAGTAGCGACGTTGTCATCAAATGTTCTTCACCCTTTTTATATAATGACATAATAATCTTTATGGAGGAACCGTTTCTCACTGTTTTTATTCAATAGGTACGGACATGAAGCACGTTTGTGCTTAACATCAGGTATAATAAATGTCAGACTTATTCTCATGTCTTCTGTGGTAAGCGACAGAACACATTTGATACAAAAAAACAAACACAGTGTCGTATAAGACTATAGATAAATAATACTGATTTTCACTCATGGACGATGGACTTCAAATACCTCAAATCTACCCATATATACTCATGCCAATAATGGTTGTCACCCCCTTCAATTTTTTTAATTGGAGAGGGTGTGTGGGGTGGGGGTGTGAGGTGTGAGGTGTGTGTGGGGTTGGGGTGGAGAGGGGGAGTGACAACCATTATTGGCATGAGTATACATACAACTCATTCATCCTTCAGTATCGTTCATACTGTATACCAGGTATATCTCGCGAATATAAGATATCGATGCTATACTATCTTAAGTCGAATGACATCACAATGAAAGTAACGATCTAAGCTTTTACTATTGGCAATCCACACACAACCTCAGTGAAGCACATTTTGAAATTAGCTTGTTATTAGGATATACTGAACCGTGATGACGGTTCATATTTGCTACAGCTGGTCACAGCAGGTGTGTGTGTTACATGGGAATACACTTGCCCCTTGCTTTCAGGCCAATGGGGAGGCGAATCTCAGACATGTATTGATTATATGTTGTTTAACGCTGCACGCCGGAATATTCCAGCTGTTGTTATAACGGTGGCCTGCAAATAACCAAGTCTGGGCAAACCAGGGACTGACATCAAGAGCATCGGTCTAAGCGAATGGGATTCAGTGACATACGTAATATTAGTCAAAGCAGCGAGGCTTACCATCCGCTTACCCGGTAGACACCTCTTACAACAAGCATTGGTTGATAAATATCATTTCAAACCCGGTTCTTCTTGACGTCATTGGTTGTTACATGTTCCCTTTACGACATGGGGAGAATACATGGTGTACTTTCTGGGGAAAATTTCTTGCACGTTTAACGTAACATGCCAAATCTATTTCAAGAACCTTCCTGTCCCATACGCTGTATGGTCTACCATAGTAATCATTGTGAGTCTACATATTTAATTTGAGTATATATTTTCCTCCTCATGGGTTAACGTTACAGTTAGGAGTAAAATGTACGTGTGGTGGAATGGAGTTATCTTCCGGTTACAGGTTCAGAGGACAAATGTTGACCACGCCGCCAAACGATGTGACCTGGGTGACGACGTGGAGGAAATAGAATCTGTATCAACATACATGGACGCTGCATCATTGTATGGTCTGCCTAAGGTAATACATTCACAATGTCTTCAACATTTGTTCCTTTGGAAACATATATTGTGTGCTTGTATATACTATTCGTTATGTACACCTTCTTTGACGTATAGTTATCTCCTCGTGTTACTCATGTCCAGTCTAAATGTTTTGTTGTAATGTCATGATGTCAATGGATTACCAGATAATTTGCCGGGTCGTGGCGATGGCTAAATATGCATTAGATAAGGACAAACTTTATAGATGAAGTTAAATACACATTTTCGACAAACTAATTTCATAGTGAAGACCTGGGTCAAATCTAGTCTCGAGCATGACTGTACACGTGATGTATGTTTAAAGATAGTTTGATTTCGCATCTGTAAACTCACTGTCACATTCACTCTCAGTCAACAGAATGGACGCCTTCAATACACGTTCTTCACAGACAGAGAATTCTGTCACAGATGTATCTCTTTAGGCCCTCTATAGAAACCAATAGTTAGGTGAAATCTTTCACAGTTACACATACATTTTGGGACACACGGTTAGCTGAGGTCTGCCAGCCACACACATCGTTAACTGAGGTCTGCCTGTCACACCTATGGTGTGGCAGGCACCGGTAGAACCTATAACACAAATATGCAAATGCATGTCTCGCCTTCACCTGAACAAACACGGTAATATATGGTAGTCAAAATAGAACAAAATAGAGCATTTGCTTTAGATGTCATATTTGTCGTTGAGGTTTCAAATTGTGGAAACATTTTGACATTTTTAGCATAAAAGCTTTTTCAGGCCGTAATAGCTGTAACCTTGATCAAATATATTTTGTATTTAGAGTAGTGGGGCGCTCTTTGAATTTTTCGATTGTACCTCAGCAGTTGTATCCTTCGATTTGAGCTACTACAATATTGCTAAATATTGAGGGAAAGCTGATTGTTTTGTAGCTGATTGCCCGTCTTGTCATACAGTCGTGTTTATAGTTTATTACACTCTGAACCTTCATGAAACACACTAGTCTCCTATATTTCTTGTTCAGGTGGCAACATCATTGGAAATGCTTGGTTATTGGGCAATCCTTCTTGGCCATATTCCTGTGGTGAGATGTCACCGAAGCAAGCACACGCGTACCTATGCAGATTTGCAGATCTAGAAACAAACACATATAGTCCAGGAAGATATTTATGAAAGGAAACAGATGTTGGCAGTTGTCCTGCTCAGAAGCAATTTCCTTAAAGTATTAAGAAACACGTGACATGTGTATGGTCTTTACTGGTGTTATACAATTTCTCCTATGCATATATAACCGTCAACTTAAAGATAACAAACAAACCATGGAAAGAGAGTTAGATATGTCAAGGTCTGATCCAAAGTTAAAATTAAATACTTTGTTCATTCTGTGTTATTGCGTACGTACTCACTTGTGTTTAGCAACCTAGGTATTATAGTAATGTTGTGCGGGAAATAACTGAAATAGCATATCATCATTGCATATCTTAGTCGCAGACCTGTAAGCGCTATGGAATAAGATAAAGCACTGACAATGACTTAATCTATTTGCAGAGGTATTTCAAGTGAAAAGATGTTGTCTCTCGCGGTGATTCTCCTTTCACACTGTATGTCAACAGGTAATTATTCCTTAACGTCTCTCTGTAAATGTGACATAGAAATCAATGGATGGAGTAGGTCCCGAACAACCTATACTTGTCGTACCAGAAAACGGCAATGGCATCATTGGGTGGTTGTCAGGTTGTGTGAATGATAGCGTGTATTGGCACCGATACGGTATGGATGGATGTCAGGTTGTGTTAATGATGGCGTGTATTGGCACCGATACGGTATGGATGGATGTCAGGTTGTGTGAATGATAGCGTGTATTGGCACCATACGGTATGGATGTCAGGTTGTGTGAAAGATGGCTTGTTTTGGAATCCATACGGTATGGATGTCAGGTTGTGTGAAAGATGGCTTCTCTTGGTACCCATACGGTATGGATGTCACGTTGTGTGAAAGATGGCGTGTCTTGGTACCATATACAGGTTGTGTGAAAGATGGCGTGAATCCATACGGTATTGATGTCAGGTTGTGTGAAAGATGGCGTGTCTTGGTACCCATACGGTATGGATGTCAGGTTGTGTGAAAGATGGCGTGTCTTGGTACCCATACGGTATGGATGTCAGGTTGTGTGAAAGATGGCGTGTCTTGGTACCCATACGGTATGGATGTCAGGTTGTGTGAAAGATGGCGTGTCTTGGACCCGTCGGTATACGGTAAAGGGCGTGTCTTGGATTCTATACGGTATGGATGTCAGGTTGTGTGAAAGATGGCGTCTCTTGGTACCCATACGGTATGGATGTCAGGTTGTGTGAAAGATGGCGTGTCTTGGTACCCATACGTTGCGTGAATGATGAAGTGTCATCCACGGTATGGCTCATAATATCAGTCAATGGTCTGTCCTACCCAGACTGGAATGGTTTCATTACATAGTTGTTAAAGGCTTAAACATACATACTAGTATCTTGTTTGCAGCTGTTTAATTGGGACTTTAACAATAACATTCACGTCCATTTTCCACCAGTATGAATGCAATTACTCCTTATATACTACCCATCAAAAGTTTAGACTCACCTAACGCACTCACTATATGTTATGTATATATATATGGTTACATCGAAGATGAATTTCTTCACTAACTTTGGGGAACCAACTGCAAACTTTATGCAGATGAACTGTACGAGGATCATGCATCAAATTGCTAACAAGCATATGCAAATATCGTTCATGTGAACAGCTGCATTTTGGTGAAAAGTGTTGTTAAGCATTCACCAATTTTCACTGATTTTCATCATTTACTGAACTCATGACAATAATTTTTTCAACGTCACGAATTTGTTTTTACAATTCATTTGTTCATGTGTAAACAGTACCTTTAACCTGAATGGAATATTTTGAAAATTAGGTTTGGAACAGTTGACTGAAGTAAGTGGCTACATTTACACTAGTCTAAACTTTTGATGGGTAGTATATGTGTGTCTATCCAACAAACATCTCTCTACTATCCACAGTTGTTTATACCAGCACAGTCTGCCCCAACTGTGACAACAACGGGACCTGTGTCGACTCCCGGTTCTATGGAACACACTGCGATTTAGAGTGTCCAGACACCTGTCTCAACTCTCGCTGTCAGATGAACAACACCCGTGTTGTGTGTACAGAGGGATGTGTGGCTGGTAGAAGGGGAGGCGACTGCGGATTGAACTGCCCAACAGCCTGTAAACAGTGTGAACGTTATGGTGATAGTTGTACAGGGTTGTGTCGCAATGCCCGGTATTACGGTCCAAATTGTAGCAAACTATGTCCCTCTCACTGTAATTTAAAGGATGGATGTACAACAATCAAAGGATACTGTAATGGTTGTGAAGCTGGGTATAGAGGTAGATATTGCAATCATTCCTGCCCTGATAACTGTGAACGTTGCGATCAGTATGGCGAAGGCTGCCTGAAATGTACTGAACGGTACTGTCTGGGATTGTGTGACGAGAATATGACTAATTGTGATAGTACTTCGTGTAAAAAGACATGTCTCCCGAACTGCAGAAGCTTCGACATCGGTAGGTCTCAGTGTACCGGTCCATGCATAAATCAGAACTATCATGGAGCCATGTGCAGCATCTCGTGCCCACCCAAGTGTGACACGTGTCACAAACAAACAGGGAAGTGCATGCAATGCGTTCCAAGGATGTGGGGTAGGTCTTGTAATGAATCATGCAATCAAAACTGTAAGGTATGTGATCGATATTCGGGGCAATGCATCGGTCTTTGCTCAAATTCTAATTTTCATGGAGACTATTGTGCCACCCCTTGCCCCGTCAACTGCCATGGTTGTCACAGAGAGACAGGGCTGTGTATCGAGTGTGCCACCAACTTCAGCCGGAAGTACTGCGATGAGATATGTTCGCCCTGCGCAGGACAGACATGCAACACGTCACCTTGTCAAAAGCGTGAGTCATAGTCATGGTAAAGCTCGATATCGAAACTGATCATTCAAACTTGTAAATATACCTTTTGTAAATGTAACGTTATTTGTTTCCGTATAACGGGATGATTTATTTATCAAGGAGATAACTTCCGAGTTAGTGTGCATGAAAATGCCTTGTAGACTACTGCGACGTCATCGGTTGCCATGACATCACTTGTCTATATGCCAATGGCGATGGTGAATTGTACTTTGCACATTCGGGATACGTGTTGTTACTGTTTACAAACGGAACTGAAGTGAGGAATTAATTTGGAAATTAAATATAATTTCACCCTAGAGTATTTTCATGTCTAACACACCAAGGCTCGTCATGAAGTGTTTAAAGTTTGTATTGACCCGTGTAGATATATGTATATGTATTCTCTGCCTACAGTGATTTATTCAATTTAAAGCAGTTTGAGAAAAATATAAATGATTTTAATCTTTGAAAATGTACATGGGATGAGCACTGAGTCAAAGAATGTCCTATGAGACCCAGTAACAAACTGTTGAATTATGACTGTTGTTGCAGGGAACGCTGACCACACTTTGGTGATTGTCATGGGAACAATAGCTGGAGCCTCCACATTACTGCTACTGGTACTGGGCTTCTGGGCACACAAGAGAAACCGGTAGGTGATGAACAGAGACTGTACAATGATCGGAACAATTTACAGAACCTATAAGTTTGAAACACAATTTTCCATTTTCCTCTCTTACCACAATACACTGGTTTATTTGAATGCGAAGAATTAGGTTATGTGATTGCTTCACCCAATGACACCCACAAGTACACAGCGCACTTTGTACCCAGCTGAAGGAAATAGTAAAGTCCGATTGAAACTGGGTGACTCAGTGGTGGAATCTGTTTCCACAGATAATATAGACTGGTTATTCTCTGGCATTAAAGCGCGTTCTATGACAAATTAACAATTTCTTTAAACTTCAGTTTGTTGCATGTTTCTAAATCTTTGAAAGATATGTCACCTGACAATCGTCATACAATGACAATGTTAATGCAATGGTAACAAACTAACAATCATTGGTATACTTTACAGCTTAGCGAAGCATTATTGGAAGTATATTTTGTTTTGTAGACTGATGTGTGTCTCCTCATCAAACACCGGAGGTGGAAGATGGGACAGCAATGGCTCCAGACAATCACGCAACAGTGACTACCAGTCGCACAAGTATTCGGAAATATACGACAAGGACTTGGACACTGATTCTTGTCTACCTGGACCTTCTCCACCTAGGCTGTCTGTACAACCCCCTCTTCCTCCATTACATCCTAAACACGACCCAAGACAAGAGTCACCCAAACCACGGTCCTGGTCACTTGGACAAGGGACGTCACGTGACTTCCGGTCATCATTTGTGTCTGCGCATAAGGATTCTCACATGACAAGCGGAAATGAACCTTCTTTGGTTACGTCAGAGATGTCAGGTGTTTCCAACATTGCATCCTCACCAATAAAAGACCTTGCCAGATCACCATCAATGCCAGTATTGATGACTACTGATGTTGCATCAGGTTCCACTCATCAGTATATACCACATTCCTGTGATATACACGACAGACCAGTATCTTCAAGCACCCTGGGGCTCCCTACAAAGACCAGTTCAATCCTATTCATAGAGCAAAACAATGACTTGTCAAATATCACTGTCAAATACATTACTCCAGATGAAACTGTCCAGGGAAAATGAGCATGATACATCGGCTTTCTTGATTTGTATATATCCGCTTGAGATTAACCTCTTTTAATGTATATGTTCCTTGTTTTTATGCGTTCCTGAATCGAATAAAAAATTGCTTACGAAATATGTTGTGTTACACATGACTACAAACTAGAACACTGGATCTCATCTATTGTCTCACGAACATTGATGCAAGATGTAATATCTGAGGATATGTTTATATGATGATAAAGTATTAGAGGCATGCCGTATTTAACGCTATTGATTCACTGTCATTATTCTCGACAAAAGGATGTTTGATCTCAGGCTCTCTGACACCCAGTTGCGTAGGTCGAAGTTCATGGATTTTCCGGCACTGGATTGTCTGGTCCAGACTCGATTACGTACAGACCATCGTCATATAGCTGGAATATTGCAGAATACGGTGTAAAATAACAACTCAAGACATCCAGTTCAAGATGCCTTCTGAATGTCTGTAACCATCACTAGAAATTTACGACGCGTATGTAAATTCTGAGGTAGAAAATATGGATATACATACCGATACCTCTACCTGCATTTTAGACGGTACAATGTACAACACACTGCCTTTCTTCAGCCAAAGCTTGTATACTGAATCTAATGAGTTTATTTATGAATTAACTAAGGATACAATTTGTTTGATTCGCTTGAATTTAACAGCATTCATCTACATGTACGGTTGTAACGCTCGGACACGTGTTCTTTGGCATGGTGACAGAGTGTGCATCCTACAACTCTAGGTATAAGCTGTCCCTGGGCTTGAATCACTGTCCCCATTGTCATGAGCTTTGTCACCATGACCTGGCAGTGCTGGTTGGTGGGAACAATGACGTTGTTACAACGACCTTTGTAACCGTTTAAAATTAATAACCGTCTTCTGAAACAATGCTCTGGACATTGTACCAATACCCATACCACTGAATAATGCCAGCAGTAGCAAACATTCCCAACACATACAACACTTTTAAATGTATGCTATGTAGTTCTTGATATTTAGATTAACACTATTATGTACTTTCTGAATTTGATAATCTTTTTCTACAATGTCATGAGACACTTTTATACGTGTAACATTTCCTTAAAAGACTTCGATCTCGATGACAACGTTTTGAGTCATATCTCTCGCGACCATTTCCTTGTGGAAAGGAAGTGTAATTCAGCAGTAATACTGAAACCGACTGATAAAACAGAAGGCCAGAACTTTAACCTTGTAGTTTAAATGGAGAACAGCGACTCACTATATGTAGCGCCACTTTGAATAGAACTTCTGTTACATATGCTATATTTTGGGTTACACCTTCTCAGTAAGATACAAATTCTAGTACTTTTTTTAGGTTGAGTCCCATTCGGGATTCGAACCCTCACAGTCAGAGTCATGCACCTAATCGACAGCACAGTCGGCGATCTGAACCATTGTCACAGGCGCATAGGTCTAGAATCAGCATCATTCTGAGAAAGCTTAATCCCAATTTGACATATGTTACATCTGACCACTTTCTAAATGGCGCTGTGTATTCACTGTACTTCTGTACTGTCAAATCAGGAGGGTGCGAAACAGGAAGTCATCCTAAGTTATGCTTTTATCATTTTAGGGAAACTTTGAAAGCGGACATGATGCTGACAAACCAATATTCTTAACCACAACGAATATGGGATTCGAACCCGATGACAATAGGTGAAATCATTCTCCGCAGCGCATAATCTCACAAGGGTAATACTACCTAGTGCAGCGTTACGAAACTGAACGCGTAAAAGCGTAAAAGGTTTAAAACCTAATTTGACTTGATGTTGTTTCTGGTCTTCGTGGTAGTAAAACGCAAATGATATTTACGATACACACCTCCTGTGAAAGGAATTAATCAAACAGATAAACAAAGTGAAAGAATCATGTGTTAGGAATGTTTGTTTGTTTTTGTTTAACGCAGCAATATTCCGGTTTGAATTGTGATACGATGACATTTGTTAACCGAGTCAGCGTGATAGACCACACGATCCCCTTAGTGGCCTCTTGGTGAGCTGAAGACCATGGTTAGCTGAGAACCAATTCTAACCCGGAACGTCACGGAATATAAGGTGATAAAGGAAATCAAGTTTGGTCCAGTATGTTGAGGGATGGTATCACAATTACTGGCCAAACAGTGTTCCATATTGTCCATGGCAGAGTCACAGTTCAATACAGTCGGACTACATGACTGTACATCTCTCTAAATCTTCAACAATCCAAATACAATTATTGGGAAGTTTTGTCAATAGCAATTAACCCATATATCTATAAAGACTGCAACCTTTATTTACGGGCTTTTACATTGAATGTCGTTACGTTTCGAAAACTTGCTTAGACAGTACAATGGTGATAGGGAGTTCTCACTCACTCACTCATTGTACGTATGTTAATTAATTCCTGTAAAATAACTATCATTTACTTAATTTATTAATAAAATATTAATCTATGACACTCGACTAAGCCAGGATGTAATATACGATACCGGAAGTCAGTACCCGGCAATATATATTGATGGATGACATATGCATATATGATGCATGAGGAAGTATTACACATCGGCTACATAACGGGAGTTTGCACGTCCTTTTCACTGGGTCGATAATATCCAGGTAATACTTTCTTCAGATATGTTTCTATGTTGTAACTCTTCATCGTTCTCTGTATATTTTAGTACATTTAGGTACAGTGTAAGGAGATGCTCATTGTTAGTTCGAATCCAAGATGGACCATGGTTTAAACTACTATCTATCTATCTATCTATCTGTCTGTCTGCCTGTCTATCTGTCTGTCTGTCTGTCTATCTATCTATCTATCTGTCTGTGTGTCTGTCTGAATCTACTTCCATATCTATCTCTGTAAATTTTGAATTCTACGGCCTATAGAACAACTGTCTTTTTAGATACATAACACCATTACAAATAATTAAACTGACAGTGAAGGCTGAGAGGTTCATCCTGATTTCATTAAACTGTGAAACACTGTTGATAGATCATGTATATTAGCCTAGTGGTTACAGTCCTCGGTCGTGAATACCATGGATCGATACCGGACATGAGTACATTGTATTAATGCCCTGCAATGACATTTCTGAAATGATCCTAAAGGCGGCATAAAACAACCCTCACTCACTATTTTCCCTTTGCGATAATACACGATTCATTCGGTAAAACAGGAGAACTATAGAGAAATTCTAATCTAATTTATCAGTCATAGACTGGTGAAAACAGAGTGAAATTTCCCATTCCACTTGCATTCGAGTTAATCACACATGAATATAAATCGTGAACGGCAGAGAATATTTCAACATAAAGACGAAAACTAAATAAATGGATGAGCGACAATCACAGTCAGTCACTAGCAACACACATGTGGTTTATATTTGTGGTTTCAATGCATCAGTAATAGTGCTTTTCATGTTTTATAGTCTTAGATTTTATATGCGTTCGTAATGACACTATTTTTACGTTCATATTTTGCACAAAAAGCGAATAGCGAATATTTGTTTAAGGAATAACAGATGTATATGCAAATGTATAATTTAAATATCTTCAAACGTTTATTGAGCACGATTAGATTTAATATTAGCCTTTTAACACAATCAAAGAAATACGTTCGAGTCTAAAGTAACTACATGATGCAGATTTAATGCGCGCAGTCGAATCTCTGCTGAAGATGACCACAGACAAAACCGAAACCATCAGAGATACCTTACAAGTTTGTCTCCCCAAACCCCTACATCCCATAACCTCTACAGCCCTGTGCCCCAACAATTAATCTGGCATAATGAACTGACCCAAAGGAGAGATTACAGGTGGAGTATACAGTGTCAGATTAAGCTGCACAGAGGGTATCTTCCCATAAGAGAGACCTCCCAAAGACAGACCGCTTAAAACAACACATTTTATGGTTGGTTGCATAAGGCTTAAATAAGCCTTGTCGGCGTGTGGTCCTGTGCACAGAGCTCAGGTCACGAATCAGTGAAGTTTAAGCAACGTCAAGCTCGGACAATCCTTTGATGGGTGACCGTGTTTGGCAGCTTGACTCCTGAGAGTTTCTAGGACTTCAGTCCTGCCCCACAACGAAGCACATGTAATACATGTGGTCTCACCTTAGGCAAGTGAGTTTGTTCAAAATTGCCTCTGTTCACCCAGCAGAAAATGGGTACCCGGTTGGATAAAGTCATGTGACTATAACCTTCTAGCGCCTAACAGATAGCTTGGGTTATCCGGGATTATAAGAATCAAATTCCGATGAAGCGCCGCGAGCAAACACATGGTGTTTGGAGACTGTGCGCTATAGAAGATGACTTATTATTATTACCCTTGATAATAATGGTATGTGCCCAGATAAAAAAGACAACATTAGGTGTTAGCTATAGTTTTATCAATTTATGTAATGAAGTATGATTTTGAAATTAAGACGTACTGCATCAACATATATGTACATCAACATATATTTGCCACATCACATTTACTTGTGAATATTATCAAAACCAATAATTTATATACATGTACCTATCAAACATATGAGACCAAGCACCATATTATTTTACATCACATGTTTCTCAGTCCACAGATGACTCTTATTAGAAAGTCACTTGAACATTATCATTTTCTCCTTTCACCTTGCTCTTGGCATACAGGTAGCCATCTTGAAGGGTGACCGGAAAAATGTCATAGGAAAAACGTCATGGGAAAAATAACTATTATAAAACATCCTGTTCTCCAGTTATATACTTTGTTTATACTGAATTTTATAAATACTATTTCACTTTCATCTTAAGCAATAAAAAGATCCCATTCTCCAGTTATTTGCGAAAAACAATTCAACAACAACAAACAAGTCATGGGAAAAATAACTATTATAAAACGTCCCGTTCTCCATTTACTTTGTTTATACTGTATTGTATAAACACTATTTCCCTTTCATCTTCAAACAATCTTAAGTAATAAAAACATCCTGTTCTTCAGTTATTTGCAAAAAAACTAATTCAATAACGTCATATTCTCCAGTTATTTATACTTTTATAATCTTGAGTGTTTTATTTATGAACATGATGTAACTGACCTCGAATATGTAAATAGGCTTATTGAGGACCA